TTAAGATTGATGCATGCGTCAACCATTGTGTATTATTTAGAAAGGAGTTTGCAAATGAAGTTAAATGTCCTAAGTGTTCAGCACCTCGATGGAAGCAGGATATTTCTCAAGATGATGAGAATTCAGATGATGAAGATGAGGGTGTCCATAGAAAAACACGAGTACCTTAATTAGTCTTGCGCCATTTTCCACTTATTCCAAGGCTCCAAAGGATGTTCATGTGCTCCAAGCTCGCAATGCACATGCGGTGGCATAATAAAGGACATGCTGGTGATGATGACGACAGTATTATGAGACACCCAAGAGATTCAAAATCGTGGAAGTCTTTAGATGAGCTATATCCCGAATTTGCTGCAGATGCACGTAATATACGCTTGGCTTTAGCTAGTGATGGGTTCAATCCCGGGGCGAACATGAGTAGTAGATATAGCATATGGCCTGTTATGTTAGTACCTTATAATTTACCTCCTTGGATGTGCATAAAAAGAGACAACATGATGTTGTCATTATTAATTCCCGGCCCTAAATCTCCTGGTAATGACATAGATGTTTTTTTGCAACCTTTGATAGATGAGTTGAAGGAATTATGGGAGAGTGGGGTACAAACCTTTGATGCCCATAGTAAGGAGACATTTAATATGCGAGCAGTGTTAATGTGGACAATTAGTGATTTCCCAACATATGCCAATTTGTCTGGCTGGAGCACTAAAGGGGCGAAGGCTTGCCCTAATTTCCACAAAGACACAAATTCCGAATGGTTGAAACATGGCCACAAATGGTGTTATATGTGTCATCGTGTTTTTTTAGAACCAGATCATAAGTGGAGACTTAATAAGAGGTTCTTTAGTAAGAAAGTTGAAAGGCGCGCACCACCTAATCCATTATCAGGGAATGATGCTTTGGAGCAGCTACATGGATACCCTAATGTGGAATTTGGTAAAGATAATAAAGGGAAACGAAAAAGAGGGGAAAGATATATTATTCACCAGTGGAAAAAGATTAGCGTTTTTTTTCAATTGCCTTATTGGAGACATCTGTTAGTTCGACATAACTTGGATGTGATGCATGTGGAAAAAAACGTTTGTGAAAATATATTAGGCACATTGCTTGACTTACCTGGAAAGAACAAAGACTCTGTAAATGCTCGGTTGGATTTAGAAGCCATGAAAATGCACGATGATCTTCGACCGAAGAAAGTAAGGGACAAGTATCAAATACCGCGAGCCCCTTTCAACTTGACCTTACATGAAAGGAGGAAAATTGTCACATTTTTATCGAAATTAGCGTTCCCCGATGGTTATTCATCTAACATTTCTCGATGTGCTTCTTTGCAAGATGGAAAAATCATATGAATGAAAACTCATGATTTTCATGTTTTCATGCAAGATTTGCTTACCCCGACCTTTCAAGGTGTCTTAGATGAAAAAGTTTTAGAACCTTTAAGAGAGCTTAGTTTGTTTTTTAAGCAGCTTTGCGCTAAGACCTTAAAAGTAGCCGACTTGGAACGAATGGAAGCAAATATAGCAATCACATTATGCAAGCTAGAACGTATCTTTGTTCCGGCTTTCTTTGATGTGATGATTCATCTTCCCATACACTTAGCTACAGAAGCAAAATTGGCTGGACCTGTGCATTATCGCTGGATGTATCGATTTGAAAGGTAAGTTTAATTTATTGTATGTCTAAATATCTAAAAATAAAGTGAATTTTATTACACTTATTCTAGTCTTTATTATTAGAGCAATGCGGACATTTAAATCATTTGTACGGAACAAAGCGCATCCTGAAGGTTCAATTGCCGAAGGGTATATTCAGAAGGAATTACTAGTATTTTGTGCTAGATATCTCTCTAAGATTGAGACACAATTCAATCGTTTAGATCAAAATGAGGATATGAACTATCCACAACTTCATAGTCTTTCGGTGTTTTATAACACCGGCAAGACATTGGGGAAGCCAAATTTAAAGCAATTGAGTATTGAAGATTGGAGAAAAGCTCAATTGTATGTTTTGCAGAATTGTGAAGAAGCACAACCTTTTTTTTGAGTAAGTATATAAAATTATAATTATATTATTATACGATTATACGGACTAAATGTTGCTAAACATTTTTTTTTTGTTCGTAGTGAGTATGAGAATAACATAGGCCATCGAGATGTTGAATTCTGCAAGTGGTTTGAAAATAGAGTAAGATAGTGCTTTATTCCTATATATATATATATATATATATATATATATACACACACACACACACATAAATACATTAAATTCTGCACATATATTCATTTTTTATTTGTATTTATATTGAAAATAATTAGATTATACAACTTTGGGAAGATAAGGATGAACGAGTTACAGAAGAATTATTGTGCTTGGCACGAGGGCCAATGAAGCGTGTTGTAACTTTTGATGGATATGTTATTAATGGGTTTAGATTTCACACTAAAAAGCGTCAAAGACATCGAAAAACCCAAAATAGTGGCGTTGTTGTATTAGGGGATGCAGAGAGTGGAGGGAAGGACTTTTACGGGACTTTAGATGAAGTTATTGTTCTGAAGTATGATGCCTTAGAAAACCGAACAAGTCCTAAGGTGGTATTGTTTAGGTGTAAGTGGTTGGATGTATTCAGCGACGAAAGAGGGATTAAAAAGGACAAATTTGGGTCTACGCTTGTCAATGTTTCTCGTACATTGCAAACAAATGAACCTTTTGCATTAGCCTTTCAGATTGAACAAGTTTTCTTTATCTCTTCTCATGATGAGCGACATTGGAAATATGTAATTAAAGTTAAGCCACGTAACTTTTTTGATTTCCCTAATGATGAAGACGCTGAACAAAATGAAGATCTATGGAATATTGTGGAAGAAGGAGCAACTAACCTTGAAGAGTTCACTGCACTTAGTGATGAGGAAATCAATATGGTAAGAGATGATGTTGAACCAGAGTTGGTTGATGCAGAGTTCATCTTAGAATGTACTAATAACATTGTTGACACGGATAATGACGATGAGAAAGAAGAGGAAAGTGAAGAGGATGATGAAGACGATCTTGATACAAGCTCTAGCGTGCATGAGATAGATGAGAATCTTGAGGATATAGAATCTGACAGCGATAGTTCTACAGATTCCCCTTCTTAGTTTCTGGTAATTGATGTTTTCTAAACTAAAATGAAGTAAATGAGTCACTTAAATCATTTTTTCTTCATTAATAAATATATTGTATTGGTATAATTGCAGTTACCCAGCACCCGCGGAGAATGTCGCAATTTAGGCGCTACTACAATCTATAATCAAATCTTTGTTGCTCTTAGTTAGTAATTTGCAAAACTATTTTTATGCATTAGTGGTTTTCAGCTCATATGGTGACAAGTTAATCACTTGACATAAACTAGCTCTAGTCTTTGTGTTAGTTTCTTTGTTTTGTAGCAGCTTTCTTTTTTCAATTTGTTTGCTTTTCTTGTTTTGTTTTCTCTTGTTTGGGTTCTTCCCTCCATTGCAATGCAACTGCTAATTAGTTGAGTAAGTCTTTTCATTTATATGTTGCTTTACATAGATTGGATTTGATGGAGTTTAGTTTTTCATAATTTTATGCTGCTTTTATACTTATTTTAATATCACTAATATTATGCACAAGAAATTGTTATAGGAAAATGGCAATTGAGCAAGTGCAGCGGGATGCATCACAGTTGCCTAAGACAAGGCAAGCGTCAAGTACAAGGCAACATGTGCACAATGTGCAACAACAGAATACAAAGCAGCAACAACAACAAAATGCAGAACAACAACAAGAAACTGTCCAGTAACAACAACTGCAGATTGTGAGGCAGCAACAACAAACTGTCCACCAGCAACAACAGCAGAATGTGCATCAGCAGCAACAACAGCAGATTGTGTGGCAGCAACAACAACCGAATTAGGTGCAGCAGCATGATGTAGAAGCATCAACTAGTGATCAGTCCAGAGAGCAAAGATTGACATACCGGGAGAAACGAAGGCTTGAACAAGCTGAACATCGACTAAAGTTTCCTGATCGTAAGAGGCGTGGGCCAACTAGGGGTAAGAAATATGTTACTAAGATGTGGAATCCTAATTCTGAAGAAAAGATTAAAATAAATTTCATGGATGAGCTTCAACGGGTGGTTGGTGAAAAGGCAGATGAATTCATATGTGATTGTAGCAATTGGGGGAAAGAATTTTGTCCCCTCAAGTCATTGTATGTGCTATAACTTACAAGTTTTTTGAATATATGCTGCTAAAGTTAATTTTCATGACTCTAAATTTACTTTATTCATGACAGGAATTGGGCTAAAATGGATTCAGGTGCAAAAGAGAGGTTGTATAAAAAGATTCGAGTAAGTTTTGGAAGTATTTGAGACCATGAAAAATGTCTGAATGTGTTTAGCATGGATACATATTTATTATGATTTACGTTGGAAGGCTAAATATGATTTACCTGATAAAGTTGCTGGTGCTGATGTTACTGATGCGTTGAGCTTTCAGTGCTCCATGTTGTATAAACATTGGAGATTTAGGCTTAAAGAGCAATACTTTAGAAACAAGTCTATTGCAGATGCTATAAATAGCAGACCAGATAATATTGATGCTAACCAATGGACATGGCTAGTATGTGAGTATTGGAATGATGAAAAGCAAAAGGTAAAATTCCATTTGACTCTTTTTTTACCTGACCATTAGTTGAATTTATATTATGATAATCTGATAGTGCCTTGTTTTTTTATGGCTTGTAGCGTATTAGTAAAGTTAACACGGATAATAAGCTTAAGCAAACTGAAACTCCTGCAAATGGTGCAAGGTCTACCACAAGAATTTTCCATGAATTGGTACGGCTTTTATATTTTTACAATGATTTATATAATAATTTGTTTAAAGTGGTGCAAATGAATAATTTCATGGTAGATTAGTTCTGCTAGCTTTTGGACTGTAACTATTATTTGAGCACTGATCACATTTCATTGTATAATTTGGCATTGCTTATCATAAATGCAGATGAATGTGCAACAAACTCAAGGTAGTCAAGAACATGAAGGATCATCAGATAATCCACTTGAAACTCAACAGGATCCTCTGTACATCACCTTATTTGAGAAAACTAAAAAGTAATCAATAGTCCCTTGGTGGTTTTTTTTAGTATTTTTTTATATAAGTTTTTAAAATTTTATAAATCATTGAATTGAGTTGTTTATTCTTGTGCTTGAATTAATATGCTAGGCATAAAGACAAGGGATTTGAACCTAATGTTGAAAAAGACTATGAAGCGCTTAGAAACCTTCATGAAAAAGAAGTGAAAGAGCATGGTGAAGATACACTAAGTGTCAAAGCAGCATACATGGAGGTTTTCAAACCAAAGTCTGGATATGTCAAGGGACTTGGTCCTGGAGCTCGTCCACCTAAGAAAAGAAGAGTTGAAGGAGAAACTAATGAAGTTAGAGTGAAATTATCGGCTGAGATTCAACAATTAAAAGAGGATGTCGCAACACGTGAGGGTGTACTTGTATCTCAGATTGAATCCCTGAAGGAATATAATGAAGAGCTTAGAACCTCAAATGAAGAGCTTATAGCATCAAATGATGAGCTTAAAGCGACCGTATCTAGAATCAACATAGAAGCTCAGAAACGTGAAAAGAAGCTCAGAGATGATATGATGAAAATGTTTGAGCAACTTAGGTATGACACTTACTCATCTTCTATTTGAGATATATATTTTTAGTTATTATCAAAAAAATATGTTGCTGCGTGTTGTTGCTGTTATGGTTCTTGGTAGTGTCTATTAGCTTTTTATGAAGTTTATGAAGCAAGCATACTGAATAGTTGGATGGAGTATTCAGTCAAATATAATTCACTTCTATAAACATGTAAAATATAATATCTCCAAGATCTGACTCTTTCTTGGAATTGGACCTAGTCCTTGTATACTATGTCTATGGTGTCTATCATCATCCCCATCACTCTCCTCTGTAGAGCCTGACTGTTTCTGTAGCATTGGGTTCTTTCTTACATCCTTTTTAGCATAGCACGTGTCTTATCCTTAAACCTCGAACTTTTCCTTCTTTTCTTTTGTTGCCTCTTTTCGACCTTTAGTTCGAGGGAGAAGTGTAGCAACAAAAGGAGTTTACAAGCCTACTATCATTAGGACATTGAGAAGCACTGCTGGTTGATTCTGCTTCATATTTTATCGTCCTTAATTTTTCCTTACCACGACTGTGTTCATCTCATTGTCCTGACTATCACCACAACTTTAACTGGAGATAAGTGCATGGAGCTATTATATGAACCTGTGAAAGAGTAGAGTTAATAGATGACTCCTCTGCTCAGCCGACTATATGTATTTTAAGTTGTCGGCTGAGTATGCAGAATCCCCTCTCGCCTTTGTGTTCCTCTATCTGCAACTTTGGTTTTGCATTACTTGTATTTTCATAGGAAGTTTTAGAAACATCAGATTTGGTAACTTACAAGCTCTACTGGCGGAAGATGAAGTTATTCCCGTGTAATTTGCTAAATAACTCGTTGTACCAAAAATTTCTGATGTGATACAGTTGTTTGAGGATGGGATTCCTGAGAATTCCTAGGCAGGTTGAAAGTATGTGGACTTTCATTTGCCCTTGTATGACTATTGACTAGGTTCTGTTTCGGAAAAATGAGTAGATATCATATGAGCAAGTTATTATTTGTACAAATACATGCTTTGCTTGGAATGAATAGGTTTCTGGTCGTTGTTTGTGCAAGCTTTCTGGTTTTAGAGTACTGATAAAATACCCTTTCAGTTCAAAGATATTGTTGTGTGATGTAGGGATAAATAGTTTTAAATCTGATTTCTATTATTGGGATCTTTGGGCATATGCATATTAGCTTCTTTACCAAGCTTAATTCCGAGCCAGTCACAAAATTTATAGCTTCATCTGAATATAGACCAGTTTTAAAAACCTGATATAACTAGTCAATATCTATTGTGCGTTGGTCTGGCTCAGGTCAAAAAGCTTGACCTAGAGCCTGATAACATAACCAAACCTAAAACTGATCCTGTGGCAACTTAGTAGTATACATTTTGAGTGTCGAATTCTAGATTCAGGAAAAAAGCTTGTGGATTTTTTAGGCAAGCATTGGGTGGAGGCCCGTGTTCATCATCAATGAATTTTCGTGAGGTATGCTTTATCATTTCGAATGAATTTTTCTGAGGTATGTTGAGTCTCAAATTTTGTAGGACAAAGGTATATTATTTTTTTGAAAGGAAATGTAAATTCTTCTTGCATCCCCTTTGATATATCCTCATTCGCAAGGTGAAAATAACTAGTATATATTTTTTAATGCAGCAATTTTAATACTATTGTGTAATAAAGTTTAGATTTGTGAAAATGATTGCATGATTTATATACTAAAATATCGGATGCTTTCAATAATTATTTTGATGTTACTAACTTATGTTTCACTTACATAGGAATAACATGGGCTAGCAATGAATTCGAAAGATGGATGATCGCAACTATTGAAGGTGGTATATATGAGCAGCGTTGAGAAGGGGTCGATGTAATTAAGTTTGTAATTAGTGTTATTTTATTTAATTTTTAAAGGATCATGTACCTTGTTGACAAAGTGGGATTATCTTATAATTTACACATTTTCTTAATATGTTTTTATAAATTAAACTATTTCATATAATAATTATTCAAAATGTTTGGTATTTGAATTCATTTTCAGATTTATTTGTTTTTTAATAGGTTGTACTACCCATAGTAAGAAAATAATAAAAACACTCGACCCTATTAAAAAGCATATGATCGATACTGACAAATATGGACAACGAGTAACTTTGTTGCACAAAGTACTATGGGCAACGACATAACGCGTATTGGGCCATTGGGGAAAAGATGGTCGTCGATTAATGTCGTTGCCCAAAATATTATGGGCAACGAAAATAATTTGTCGCCCAAAGTATCAAATATAGGGCAACGAACTTGGTCGTCACCCAAAATATTATGGGCGACGAAATGAACAGATCATAGGCAACTAACTTGTTCGTTGCACAAAGTAACCTTTGTGCAACGAAATAAAAATTCGTCGCCCAATATGTAATGGGCTTCGACCTTAGGGCTTCGGACCCATGTTTAGACCCATTTCGTTGCCCAAGGTTTTGGGCGACGAAATACTGGTTTTGGGCTTCGAGTTTAGTGGTTGCCCAAAGTCGAATTTCTTGTAGTGAATATAGCCGGGAAGCATCTGCACCAGGCAGCATCATCCAACCCCTGTAGGTACATGAGATTGGTGTATTCCATTAGGTGGTCTTCCGGGTTTGTGGTACCGTCGTAGGTACCGACCAACACGTTTTTAACCTTGGCGGGCTGGACCACCTCGGTTATTTCCCTAAGCAAGCCGAAGGCTGTTCCCCAAGGTTTAGCAGCCGGAGCTGCCAGTCCATAGGCTAGACCTGATATGCCGCCTAACCCCCAAAAGGGGTCGACTGCATGAATGGAGATCCATACGGCGCGTATGGCTGTTGGGGCACATACGGAGCCTGCTGGATAACATGAGGGCCAGTACGTGCGGACGTGCCGCGTGACTGACTCCCTTGATGCGTCTCTGAATGCTTCATTGAAGTATTTCGAAAACTGTCTGGGTAGGTCGACGTTGAAGCCGACTCAGACATGTGCTGACTTCTCTTCTCCTGGATAAAGATTCGGGCATCAGAGTAAGTCTTTTTGGACCCATCCGGCTGTACCCTGATTTAGGGAAACGAAGTTTAGAGAGGTCGATCAGGGGCCCATCTGTCCCCTTGGGTTTGGGGTGTGGAGTAGGCACCCGGTCTTTAATCTGCTTCTTCCCGGAGGGAGAACGCTTCTTTTTCGGCTGACCCTTGCTTGAGCCAGTTGACCTTTTGATTATGTCCTTGATCTCCCCCTTGAAACTCGTCATGAATTTCAAGAGCTCGTCCCTGGTGACGGGGCTGTGCCCTCCGCCGTCTGGGGTTGCCCAGGGCGTTGGCCGCCTGGGTTTCTAGGACCAGCTTTGTCTTGGCCCCGTTCCCTTGTCTCTTTAGAACGGGTGCACCTTGATTGAAATGACCCGTCTGGGGCCATGTAAGTGTCGACTTCATAGTCGACACCACTGTCATGGTCTGTATGGACCTCAGGGTCAGCCGTAGGCCGGCTACCCTCTGCACACGGTACAGTGTCGGATGCCCCATCTCAGTAGTACTCTCTCCATAGACGGCGCCAAATGTTTCGGGGGTTTTTGGAGTCCCTCGGGAGAGTTACAATCCTAAGTATGCACGCCTGACGTCTGTACCTGCAAAACCACAAAACTCCGGTGGGGTGGAGTTCCGCCTCCGACGATCAAGTTAGTATGATTCTTGACGGGTGAACGGGCGGAAAGTAAATGAGTTTTTCTCACTGATTCAGAGAGTTTCCGCAATTAATATTGCTCGGGTTTTGTGTAAGTATTTATGAATAGGTAATAAATGAGGGGTTTCCTCTATTTATAGCATATGTGGATCTGCTCTCCCATTGGGATTACAATCCCACGTGGCATCCTCTGATTGGATCCCCTTGGGCCTCTACGAGGTTGATACATGTCAGCCCCTTATTGGGCCACGTGGCAGGGTAATTTTTACCCCAAACAACAACTAGTGGGACCCGATTAGGATAGTCAATACGGATTGCGATCCGTTATGTATATTTGTAAAGCTAGTAGTTGCATATTTGGCGTAGATGTCTCAAGACGGAGTTTCTAAGAAGACAAGCCAAGAGGATGCATTGAAGACCCTTTGGAGACTTGAAGGCTCAAGGGGTCATGCTAGTTGCCAAATGCATCTTTTACTTATGTTTTCTTATATATAATTGTGTTTATATATGAATGAATGGTATGATAGATGCATGTTTAGGATTTCAAATGTTGCGATGATTAATTAAGTTCACTTAAATCAACCAACATAGAAACGCTAGGTCCCTGTAAAATTGAGCTAAATTTGTCATTCCAAGAACAACAATTACCGAACTAATGCGCGTAGTGATGGGCTACGCCAAAGCGAGGCATCACTACTTCCCTAGGAACGTAAGGTATACTAGGTATACAAGTTGGTCTTGGTTAAGCTCAACGATATCAGTAAGGAGTCCTTAGATGTCGTGGCAATGGAGATAAAATGTCATTGAAGCATTAGATGCGACATTTTATTGAACCAAGAGTAGCTTAGAGCTATTAACAATTGGATTGCTTACCTTAAAATATTAAGTGTTAAGAAAGGCCAAAGCATGCATAATCACTTTTTGATTTTAGCGATCTTGGAATCGTTTTATTCTCGCCTAAAACGAACTAATATTCATGCTTGGATTAAACCGCTCAATAAGATGGAAAATTTGCATGTATGCTTTAAATTTCAAACTTGTTGGTCTATGAATGGTTTATCATTTCAAATTCTTTCAATTGTAGAAACATGTCTGCAAATAACTCAGACAACCAGTTTTCATTATTCTTAATTCTTGACAAGGAGAAGTTGAGTGGGCCAAATTTTCTTGATTGGCAAAGGAACTTGCGTATTGTTCTCATGCAAGGTCCTTGATGATTGGCAAATTTTCTTAATTGGCAAAGGAACTTGCGTATTGTTCTCATGCAAGGTCCTTGATGAGGAAATTCCCAACACTCCTAATGAGGAGGTCACTCAGGCTGCCCTTAACCGATGGCAAAGTGTCAATCGGGATGTCAAGTGCATCATGCTGGCCACTATGTCTCCGGACCTTCATAAGACTTTCTTTGAAAAGGAGAAAGCTTTTGAGATTATTTCTGAACTTCAGAACATGTTCCAAGAGCAGGCCTGAACTGAAAGTTTCAAAACCCACAGGCATATCCTTAAGAGCAAGCTCAAGAAAGGAGAGCCAGTCAGCCCGCATGTTCTTAAAATAATTGGATTATTTGAGAACATGGAAAGGCTTGATACTGGGTATTCAACCAAGATGGAAATTGACATCATTCTCCATTCGCTGCACAAAGGCTATGATCAGCTCAAGATGAATTATAATAGGCATATCATGGAGAAAACCCTCACCGTGCTTCATGGTATGTTGAAGCAGGCCGAGAAAACCCTCAAGGATGAGGGGAATCATGACATGCTCATGGTGAGAAAGGGCAAGCCATTTAAGCGCTAGGGCAAGAAGATAAGCTTTAAAGGGAAAAAGAAGAAGAATTTTCCGCCTAAGTCAAGTGTTGCTAAGAGCGGCAAGGACAAGAAGGTAGCCTCTTCTAAATCCGATTCTAAATGTTTCTACTACAAGAAGAAAGGACATTGGAAGCGTGCTTGCCTCAAATTCAAGGAAGATAAGAAGAACGACGCCGTTGCTTTTGTATCGGGTATTTTTGTTATAGACTTAAACTTCGCTAGCAAATCATGGGTATTAGATACCAGATGTGGCTCACACCTTTGTTCCAATGCTCATGTACTACGGATAAATAGGAGGCTAGAGAAGGGAGAGGTCGAGCTTCGGGTCGGCAATGGAGCAAGGATGTCTGCCGTATCCGTCGGAACTCTCAGTTTATCTTTGTCCTCTAGGCTTGTTTTAGAACTTGACAATTGTTATCATGTTCCAAGAGTTACCAAAAACATTATTTCAATTTCAGCGTTGGACGCCAAGGGATTGGAATTTCGAATAAAAGACAATAGTTAATCTTTTTATTTCGATAATGTTTTATATGGTAAGGCATATTCAGAAAATGGTCTTTATGTGCTTTCTCTAGACAAACAAGTTTATAACATTAACGATACCGCCAAAATAGCTAAGACCATCGAGTCAAATCAAACCTACTTGTGGCTTAGATACCCACATTAACATCAAACGCATCAAGAAACTTCTTCATGAAGGTATTCTTGACTTATTCGACTTAGAGTCGTTTGAAAATTGCGAAGGATGTTTATTAGGCAAGATGATAAAGCAACCATTCTCCAAGTTAGTAGAAAGGGCTAGTGACTTATTGGGTCTAATACATACGGATGTATGTGGACCAATGAGCACACCCGCGAGGCAAGGTTTTCGATATTTCATTACCTTCACCGACGACAACTATAGTAGATATGGCTATGTCTACCATATGTCGAACAAATCTGAATCTATTGAGAAATTCAAAGAGTTTCAAAATGAAGTTGAAAATCAGCTTGACAAGAAAATCAAAGCACTTCGATCGGATCGAGGTGGTGAGTATTTGAGCCACGAATTCGACGATCACTTGAAAGAAAATGGTTTTCTTTTAGAATTGAAACCTCCCGGAACTCCACAATGGAACGGAGTGTCCGAACTCCACAATGATGGGTCTTAGTGTGTTGGGTTTCGTAGCGCCCAACGCTACACGAAAGAGAAATCCGCCCAAGACCCGCTCACTAATTAAAGCAACTAAATATTTAATCACATAATTAACAACATAAAAGAAAGAAAGGGAAATGACATTCTTACACTCGACGCGTACTTCGCTCCTATAGAGCTTGGACTTCAAAGCCTTAGCTCCGCAAGCGCGAGAGCCTACGACGAAGTCCACTCTCGAGACCCGGCCCGAACGGCCTCTACCCCGGAGGTTAGCCGAGGCTAGACCAAGATAAGACTAGAGTATTACGAACTTAGAGGTTTTCTCACCTAAAGGGAGATGCCTCATTGAGTTCAACTCAAGTGTCCCTTCCCAATCCAAATGATGGGTATTCATAGGGAAGGGAGCTCTTGAACTTCAATCTCCCATCCATGTGGGAGAGTTGGTAAAATACATTTTATCCAATTTATTTTTAATTCAAAAATTAAATTGAAATGCAAGTGAATCAAAAAATGACAAGTGTCAAGAGGTGAGCAAGGGGTTAGGTGAGGACCACAAGGGGGAAACCATTCTCCCCTTGCTCCCCAAGCAAAACCCTCAATATTGGTCCCCACACAAAACCGCACCACTACACCACTTGGCTGGCTGGCAGCCTACCTTGGCTGCTAGCTGGCACCTAGCACCAAGGCTAGGCAGCCAAGCCAGCTAGCACGCAACACGCGCATAGCCAGCCAGCACCCAGCCAGCCAGCGCATGCCGCTGCTTAGTGTGTGCTGATGCTATGCGAGTGGCGTGGTGCTTGGTGTTGCTCGTTAGCACACACATACAGCCCAGCATGCCTAGCACGCTGCTGCTGGGTACGTGATGCCGCTATGCGAGAGCGCTGTTCAGCACACAAGCATGCCCCGCCACAGCATGTTGCGATGCCTAGCACACAAGCATGCTGCGATGCATGGCTGCTATGCGAGAGGCTGCGATGTGCTGGGCTATGCCCAGCATGCTGCGATGCTAGCGATGATGCGGTTGGTGCTGCTATGCTAGCCAGCACGCAAGGCAAGCATCTTGCGATGCTCGTGCTGTGCGATGTGCGTGTGCTAGGCAATGCCAGGCACGCTAGCACGCATGCGGTTTGGCACCTCTCCTAGCCTAGCACTCATATGGCTAGACCAATGCGATGCTACGGCTTCGCTCGTACTTGTCGTTTGCTTGATTCCACGTCTCGTCGAATTCTAAATTCGACGAGACTTACGACGCTCTGTCTCGATGCTCTAAGCTCGATATCCGACGTCTTTGTTCGTAATACTCTAATGACTCATCTAATCCTTCGGATTGATTCGTCGTCTCAGATAGGTTACTTGATTGGGTGTGACCCAAAGGGTTCAGTCAAGATTAAGCTGGAATATTAATTACACATTAATATTACTGATCGGAAGCGGCCTCCACCTAGGCATTCCGATCACATGACCTCACTAAAGAATTAGCTTTCTAATAATTCTAAACCCTCTACCGCAATAATACACTTGTTGGAAGGACACCATTCCTTTCAATCTCCCACTTGTACTTTCGGACAAGTGTGCAATTTGTGTATAGCCCTTTTCCTATGTCGCTTAATGTCTCTTCATGAACTATAAGGTAAGATTCTTCGTCATCCTTATTACGTCCAGAAGTGTTTCTCGATTCTTGAGTTTGACTGTCAATAAACAGATGATTTCTAAAATCCATCTGAGCATGGCCATGCATTTTCACAGTCTCGCTCTTCGAGAGGCCTTGTAAACAACAAAGACATATTCCCTATTGTTAATAAGGGGACATTCCCAGTCTTGTACTGTAAACTTCTCTTACTAAGAGGATCTAGTCGCCTGAGTGTTGCCGTTATAATCCCCATTTACGGCAGATGTTTGATAACTTCAAAACGACTAGTACTCAAACAAGAGAACTTGCAATACTCATGGTCGAGGAAAAGGTTCCGATAGCTATAATGAGAAATATACTTATGACTATTTTTAAATCTCTTAAAGTACTCTCATAGGTCGATCCGGTACAGTTCCAAACTAGTACCTGTGCAAATGATTTATGACTATCATGTCCTTGTAGCACAAGAAACGGTGCTATAAATCATACTACACACTAATCTCAAGTGGTCATTAATCGTCCGTCTTTTAAATGACCATGATTAGGGATAATTATCGATTGAAATATTCAATGTTCACTTAACAGGTGTTTCTTTATCCAAGATATGGTCTTGATACCCTGGTTTTAATGTTCTTTAAAATCGAATGGACTCATTATTAAATTCTAAACCACAATTAAATAGTTTGTGGAATTTTATTAGTATAATTTTATTCCACCATGAATTTTGAATAATGTTTCATCTTATGATAAATGGTTTTCCCCAAATGTTTCAAGAGTAACACTCTTCACAAAACATTTTTGGAAATCACACCCATATTTAATATGCTTGATTTCTTTCATGCAATCTGGTGAATGTTGTCGTTCACTTATTGCATAGGTTTAGCTACTATTACTTTGCAAATCTTAGCATCTTCATTATCAAACAATTTCATAATAAGATGATAAATTTTTTAGAGTATTATCGATCATATGTGATTTAGGATTTATTGTCCAAGTGATGGCTCCCACTCATTTTCATGACTTGAGATCTTTCAACTTGACAACCTACAATCAATGTTCGACACTGAACTTTCCATTGAACACTTTCTTATTATTGCCTTCCACGCAACAATATTCTCAACATATATTTCAGTAAACATTCTGATGGTGCTTTGCTCGAATTTCATTCCAAACAGCTCACAATGATTTGGGAGACCCTAATCACTTGTGATTATGGAAATTTACCTTAAATTTCCGCACATAATACATGGATGCATGTCCATGTTACCATTCTCAAGCCACAACGCATTCTAACTCGTGCTTATAAACGGCTTCGTTATTAAGGATCTAATCCTTGCTAAGGATGTTCTTGCAACATCGATTCTCAAATTACATTTGTTTCCATGCGACAAGAACTTATCCCCTTTTACTTATCAAAGTACTTTGGATTTTTCCTGATCATAATCTAACAATTCATTACTTAGATTCAAATTGATTGGTATTTTATACTTTCTCATGCTCTAAGCATGTAAGTTGAGTGGCGACTCCATATCATAGCATACATGATATTTTTAATTGCAAAATTATTCCCAATATGTTCCATTCATGTGACCTTTTAGCTCATCCAGTTTCACTGAGTCTTGCTAAACTGTTTGCTATGTGATACGGTTGAAAGTCTCTACTAGAGTCTTTCTTGTTTGACTTAGCTCAAACATTTACTTAGTTTTATGGGTCAAAGGCCTTTTCATGTCCTTCATGTTTAACACTGTAAACTCCTCTACTCGTTTAAACATATCATTAAGTCTATCTAATAGATCTTAATTCCCACCATGTACTAAGTATCACCTTTTGATTGATCCATTGTCGAAAATCCTTTCAAATCTAATCATTTAGCATTTGATAGTCATTTCACAACAGGGTTCGTAAACTTCTTGTTGGACCATTCAAGATTGACTTTTGCTGCCACTAAACTTCTTGTCCATAAGGATTTCTATGATTCTCCATAAGTCAAACCTTTTATTGACTTTATGAGAATACATGTTCCAATTCCTACACGCAATGCTTCACTTAATCCCACAATGGATTTCTTGAACTTGCTTTCAAATCTAGCATTATTTAGATTCTCAAAACCCTTAGACTATTTCCATAGTCTCTTCCTAAAATCCCATTATAGGAAGGCGGTTTTATTATCTATTTTGCCATATTTTATATGCGCAATTATGCTAGAATAATCACGAAAAGACTTCAGCGTTCCGATTGGTGAATAGGTTTTTATTAAAATCAACGTCGTGAATTAATTGTATCCTTTTTCAACCAATCTAGCTTTGTATGCACTATGCATTTCACATTTGTCAGTTTTCTTCTTGAAAACTTATTTGCGATTGATGGGTCTTTCACCCCTCATGCAAATGAATCAAGTTCCAAACATGATTTACAAACATGGAGTCTATTTCGGATTTTATGGCCTATAACCATTATTCAGAATTTGGATTTGTCGTAGCTAATTTACAAGACATTATTCCCTCACCATCCAATGGTAAATAGTATGCTTGTAAGTCTTAGGTTTATTTCTAACTTACACTAGACGAAAAAGATAAAAAGGCACCGGTTCAAACCCCCCCTTTGGCACCGGTTTTAAACCGTTGGGTATTTGAGGGATGCCAAATCCATGAAAATTTGGCTCCAGTTCAAAACCGGTGCAAACTAAAGCATTTAGCACCGGTTAACCGGTGCTAACTATATGATTTGGCACCGGTTAACCGGTGCCAACTACCATGGCGCGATTTTTTTTTTATTTTCAATACTATTGGCACTTGTTCAAAGCAAGAACCGGTGCAAAATACCCCACTTTAGGCACCGGTTCTTGCTTTGAACCGGTGCCAAAATTTCTCAAAAAAAATTTTAAAACAAAACTTTTGGCACCGGTTCTGGTCCAAACCAGTGCCAAAAATACCCCAAAAAAAAAAATATTTTTTGCATTTTTTTCACTTAAATTGTACCAAATACTTATATATAATCATAATATACATAAAACACATATATTTTCTTCAATAACTTGTAATATTACACTTTAAAAAACTAAAAAAAAAAAAAAACACTTAGATCTTGGATCTTATTCTACAGCTTGAATGCTGACCAGTACACTTGGATCTTGTTCTGGTTTGTTGAGAAGTTTGCTGTGTTGATACTACTGTGCTGCTGTCTGTTTTCCTTTTGCAGTCATGTTGCTGGTTTTCTGGGGAGCTGTGATGCTGAGCTGCTGGTGGTGGCATATTTGTTCCAATGGAAGCTGCTGGTGGTGTAAATTCAATGGAAGCTTCACAAACAGATTCAGTGTTACCAGCTATCTTCCTTTTCTTCCCTTCTTCATATAATTTAAGTGCTTCATAACCAAATACTCCGAAAGCTACAAGAAACTGTGGAAACAAGCCCAATTATTAAAAAAGAACCATATAAAAGGAAATCTAGTACAAAATGGTTTTTTGTATTTTGGAGGTGTGAGGCTTTAGACAAGCAGCATTTTCATAATCCAACCTCCAGCAATTGACCTCATCCGCATGATCCCTAAAACTACATTGTGTATAGTTTTTCACAAACTTATAAGCAAAGATGATTACTGATCCTAAATAAGAAATAGAACAAATGAAAAGAAAACAACAGTTAGTTAAGTGATCCTTACTGCACTAATATCGTAGAGTTAGTTAATAAAGACAAAAACAAGAGTTTAGTTAAGAGTTAATATAGACAAAAACAATCTACAAGTTTTCAATATGTTCTTACTGCACTAATAGCTCAATGCATACAAAATTCTAATGTTCAGATTATGATCAGAGTATGCTAAGAGTTAGTTAAGTGATCCTTGAAGTTACGGTACTAAAATTATTATCTTGCTTACTTAGCAATCTTACTTCCTTATATATATAGATTCGTGAGCTCGTCCATAGCACCGGAGCTCAAATTAAAGTCAACAAAGATGGCTAAGCAAATTCTACACATTATTGCAAAAGTCAAAAACAGAAACTGCTACTCTGAAAAACCACTCTTTACTACACTAAAACTCGAAATACTACGAAGTTTAACAAAAAGTCAGCATCATAAATTTTTGAAATTAAGTCTATTAATATAGAAACATAGGATTAATCCATTAAATCCAATTATTAAGGCTGGAGAGATCAAAATTTGACTACAAAATCCGCATCAAAGAAATTATAACGCTAAATTGAACATAAAAATAAATAGCAGAACACCAAAGATTATGAAATTTTCAAATAAATTAATGCAAAATTGAAGCAGCTGATTACGCACCAGAACAAAATGGAATCAACATTAACGAAACTGCTGACATTATCAGGCGTGTTGCATAATACTACATCAAATAATTACCAGAAATATTGTTCTTCAAATCGAGTTTTGCCAAGTCGATTTACCACTCTTCATTAAAATCTCCATCTCGAGACCAAACCCAACTCAAATGTTCCTCCAATTGAATATCCTAGCTCTAGATATTAATATTATCAGCCCTAAATATAATGTTTTTTGTACTCAAATCACCTAAATCTATCAAATTTGAAAGAGAACACTTCTGTTTGTCGTTTGCTTCTTCAGCAGGCTTATCTGAAGAATTCTTAACCTCTGCAACAACACTTTCATCTCCTCTATCGCTCTTTGAATCCATATTTTTTTCTCCCTAAATAAAAACCTTTAAGATTTTAGAAAAAGCTATCACACAGAAATAAAACACAAGAAAATGCAAGCAATTAACGAGCAAGATTCATACCAGGCGATTGATTTTAGGTAGCGAAAACCATTTCTCAAAGAGGACAAACCCTAGACGATGATGAAATCGCTAAACCCTAGACAATGATGAAATCGCCAAACCCTAGACAATGAACATCAATAATAACCAGGGACAAGGAACCCAAAATCAACACAACAAATCAACGATTGATTCACAAGCATTAAGACCCCCAAAATCCTTATCAATTCTGAATCAAGATTCACATCCGCGCAACTCAACGAAAAATCAATTCGCGAAAAAACAGCGAAAAATCAACATATGTTGAATGAACAGAGAATTGAAAGCAGCATATTATAGAGAAAGAGATTGGAAAATGGTAGGATTAGAGACAAAAAAACCCTGCTCAGAACAAAAAAAATACAAGCAACATCAAAATTTTAGCTATAAGAATAATCATTCTTATAAAAAGTATTATGTAATTTATGTTAGATTTATATGAGGATTTCAAACAATGAACCTGAAAAAAATTGTCTGCAGATCTGTACAAATGCATAGCAACGGAGACCCGAATATTCTTGCATGCTGACCGACATTTGGATGTACAATTTGATACAAATTTTACAAATTCTTCTTGTTCCTCCGTTGTTGTCCCCTATAAAAAAAGTATATTAGCTTAAAATAACAATGACATTGTTCATACTTTGAAATTAAAGTAACTAAACTCAAGCAAGCTGACTTTATAAGGCTTCAAAAACAGATTATTGATATCTTTTCAACATATCCAACACCTCACTAAACTCTCACAGACAGAAAGCAAAGTGCTCCCGACAACAGAGGTAAACTAGTACTGGTTGTTAAAGCTACTGAGAGTACTTTATGTGTCTTTCTTTATTAATGTTATAATGAAATATATTCCTAAATGGAGATTTTTACATCACAATCATAATAGTTTGGTTTAAGAGAGTAACATAGAATGGTGCATTAGAGAAATTTAGGTTGTGTGCAGCAGGCCAGATATGGAGGGAAAAGTCAGCAAGTCAAGGCTCTGCCAATTACGCTAAGCCAGTAGCTAAAAGAGAGATATTCAATTCCCATAAAACTTCCAGTAGAGCAGCTACTGGAGCATTAGAGATAGTAGTGAAGAAGACGAAGGACTCAAGTAGCAGACTGCAGACCTAATTATTATCACATGTAGCTAGATCCAGGAAAAATAAACCTAAGACTATGATTTATCCCAGTAATTAGGTGATATCATCTCTGAGCAGCTAACCATTTCTTCGAGGAGACTAGGACTTAAATGAAGCCCTTGTAATACATTTTGGTTTGAGATTCATTTTGAGTGCGCGATTGCGTAACTGTAGCAGCCATTTTACGTTGACACTTGTTATTGTAGGTCAAACTAAAAATTAAATTGACATTGATGTCAGTTTACTTAATTAGTTGTATCCCTAAACTGCTATTGATCATAGGTCACATAATAAAAATGTTGTACCCTAACATGCAAACGAAGGAGGAATGAGTATGTACTGACAAGTATTAGGTTATATATAGCATCACAAGACTGTTCGCAAAGCATTTTCAAGCAAGACAGCCAATATTCTATAGCCAAATTGATCACAAAAGTAACAAACAGATAGATCACCTGGATACATTGAGCATTCAATAATTGCGTATACTCGTTGAATACAGCAGCACAGAATTCAGGTACCAAATCCCCATTAAAATGTGTAACTTCTCTAACCAAAAACAGCGCAACATTCTCCATGTGAGCAAATAGCTTCCATTGCAGCTTACTGCATACACTAGTTTCCAGATGCCTATAAGCACCAACAAATACTTCAATAAGGGCAGGATTAAATATGTAAATCATCAATTTACACCATATCATGTACATCATCAATTGCTTTCAGGCTCACATTAAAGGTAGCACTATGTACAAAGGTCACAATTGCTAATTATTTGCAGGCAACTAGAAGTCTTTCTCAAGGACCACAATACAATAAATTACTTGATCCAGAACCCAACTACGCCTTTCTATACAACTATAGAAAAATTAAAACATTCAGTAGATTAAAAAGCAAAAACACCAGACAGAATGGCATGAAACTCATAGCATATTGAAAAATATATATATCCAACCTTAAAAATTATCTACTAAACTTGTATAAGATGTGGCTTCAAATTACTCTAGAAGATATATACTCTAAATTAATACTATGATAATACAGAACATTAGATTTTTGCTTAATGTTTCCCAACTTCACAGACTTGTCAAACCCCTTTTGAACACTCAGCAAAACCTAAAGCCTGCAATTGACATTTCAGAGCAAGTACACATGTCACTTACTCATTCCCATGCAATATTCTGTTATAATTTCTAAACATGTAATTATAATATTGAGATCTGATAATATTTACCAGCCTCATATTCTATTTCTTTCAAACCATGATACACTCTAGTATTTCATATGAAAGAGACAAAGTTATATAAGCAACAACTCTTTATCAGCTTCACTTAACAAAAATTGACACTCAAATCCAATGCTTGAAAATTTTGACTAATGCATACAAATTTTAATCAGTATGAATATAGTGAAACTCAACTTTTTCATAGGCCAATTATAATGAATTAAACTAATTATTTATCAAAACAAAAACAGATTCATAGCAAAGTTATTGAATGAAAGAAAAAAGAAAAAAAGAAACAATGAACCCAAAATAACGAGTCAAGTTCCAAAATCAAAGAACCCACAATACACAATCTAACAGGTTCTACACAGCCAATGTTAGCAAAAACATTACTTGAAATTGGGGAAAAAATTGAGCAAAAAAACGCAGATTAAAAAATATAAATCAAAAACACAACGTAATACCCCAAATTTCAACTAAATCTATAACAAAATCAACAAAAAATACAGCATAAAAGAATATAAAGATGAATTAAGCGAAAAAGAGAAGAAACTTACTTGTAATTGGGGAAAAAATAGAGCGAAAGAGAGATTTATATTAGGGTTTTGTAAGCTTTAACAGGAAAAAAAAAAAAAAACCTTTCAAGCGCCGGTACCGGAAGCCGTTAAAGGTGACGGTGTCTTGGTCGGAAGCGTTGTAGGTGACGGTGTCGCCGGCCTAACTGTCTCTCTAACCGTTCACCACTTGCTTTAACTCGAACAAGATTCGAACGAAAATCGAAGACCTCACATGAGAGATGAGAGCAGATCGAGATGGGAACGAAAGAGGAAGGAGAGATGAGAGCAGAACGAAAGATGAGAGAGAATGAGAGATGAGAGCAAAACAACAGATGAGATAGAACGAGAGCAGGGCAGAACCAGAGATGAGAGAGAAGGAGAGCAGAACCAGAGAGGGAGAGAATGAAATACAGAGGCGGAAGAGAGAGATATAATTAAGCTATAACCCAGTTTTTTTTAAACAGTTAGGCACCGGTTTTGTTTAGAACCAGTGCCAAATCCCTTTTCTGCTTTTTTTTTTTTTTTTTTTTTTTGTAGTTCGCACCGGTTTGAACCAGTGCCAAATAGTTGATTTGGCACCAGTTTAAGAGAAAACGGTGCCAAAAGTCATCAAGCTTCTCCCGCCCATTTCCTTTGCCACTGGTTTTCAAGAACCGGTGCCAAAGGTGCGTTGCCTAATTCATTTTTTCTACTAGTGTTAATAGAAATTTATAGGATTCAATCCAAGCCTTTCACTAAACGAAAAAACTAATTTGGCACCGGTTCAAACCCTCCCCCCTAAGGCACCGGTTTTGAACCGTTGGGGATTTGAGGGATGCCAAATCCTCAAAAATTTGGCACCGGTTCAAAACTGGTGCCAACTAAAGCATTTGGCACCGGGGTGTCAAATGCTTTAGTTGGCACTGGTTAACCGGTGCCAACTTCAATGGCGACAGTTTTTTTTTTATTAAATTCAATGTAATAGGCACCGGTTTTGAGCTTGAACCGGTGCCTTTGACTTGTTTTTTTTTTCGGCAATAATATATATTAATATTAATACTAATAAATATAATAATAATGAGATCATGTACATAATACCGATAATTAATAATAATAATAATTATTATTATTATTATTAATTTTAATAATAATAATTATTATTATTATTATTATAATATTAATATTAATAATAATAATTATTATTATAATATTAATAATAATTAGTGTTTCGGGGTTTTCTGATGTCCTGCGGGAGAGTTACAATTCCGAGACTGGAACCGGACGCCTGTACCTGCAAAATAACGGAGACTCCTGAGAGCTCCGCCTCCAACGGTCAAGTTAGTACCTGATTAAGGAGTAATTAATACGGAAATTAAAGTAACAAGACCTCTCTAGGTGAGAGTGTTTAATGTTGGTAATTTGTCTTGTTAGCGAGATTAGCCGGTTATTAGTGTTCCGTAATGTTTTTGTTCTTCTTTCTTCTTCAGGTGAGATTAGTTGCTTGATCAATTGCCTCTCAATTGCTTGATTGCCTGATGTTTTCTTGACTTCTTAATTAATGAGGATTAATTAAGTATTTATAGCCTTGAGAAGCGTGCCACTCTCTAGGTTTAGGGTAAACCTAGGGCTGACCGGGCCTCTAGACAGGATTGGGCCTTGTTGGCCGGTTTTCCCATTTGGCATGGGTGGACACGTGGCGTGTCTCAATTGGTCCGTAGAGGACGTATCTGTGATTGACACGTGGCAGGCTCCTATTGGCCTTCGTGAAGGACACGTGCGGAACCTGGTTGGTCCACTTGTCAGACGGTGATTGGTGGATAAAAATCCCCTAATCATTTGCCCCTCACAGGTGGCACGTGACTGGTCACGTGTCGCCTGTGACAGGTGTCGCACGGTGACAGGCGACGGCCTGCTACAGGTGTCACCTTGCAAACGGCCGAGAGATTTTCCCGCCCAAATTTTGAATTTGGAAGCGACCCTTCTCCTTCTCACTTTGCCTATATAAGGAAGTGCTGACTTCGGTCATTTTCACATTTGAGAACTTTGCGAGAACATTCGGACCCCTGAACTTGCTCTGACATTTCGGACCTTTTCTGCCTACCGCCTGTTCTGACAAGCCGACTGTACCGGATTTCCAGAACTTCATCAACCGTCACTCGTTCAGGTAACTCAGTTCTCTTACTCTTAATTTTCTTTTTATTTTTTGAAATGGCACCACGGAAGCACACGACACGACCTAAGTTAGTGATCAGCCGGTCACCGGGGACGGCTGAATCTAGGACTAGGAGTGCCGCCTGCCCTTTTCTGGACCCATCTTTGCCCTTTATACAAAGTCCGACTGTATCTGTGTCTATGCAGAACGTGATGGCCAGAACAAAAAAGACTGCTATGATATCAAACTCAGACGGCTCCTCCCAAAGGGTGCTCCTTAGTGAAACATCTGACCAGGCGCCAGATGTAGAATTGAAACGAGGCGGCTGCCAAGCCGACAGTTCTGAGAGAGGGGCCAAGGTGGTCCCTTCCCATCTTACCGTTGATATGTCTAATTTTCCTCCTGCTCCTTCTAAGGGAGAGGAGGCGGGCCCCTCTGGGAGAGGGGAGAGTCGTCCTCTTCGGACTCGTCAGAGGACGAGTCCGAGTCCAGCTCTTCTAGCCACAGTTCTCCAGGCTCAGAAGAAAGACATAGCCGTCTACAAGAGGCGAGACTTTCTCATGCAGTTGAGAAGGGGGACAATTGGGCGGAGCCGTCCGCCTCTTACAGAGAGGAAAACGCCCCCTACTACTGCATGGTACCCCGGGGCCGGATCGCAACCATGCAAGACAAAGTGGAGAGCTTTATTGCTAACCACAGAATGGGCCCGGAATTTTTACTGTTCGTGCCGGATCCAGAAGACACTGTCGTCTGGCCGGCTGGTACCAGCTATGATGACGGCTGCTTTGGCTGCTATGTGGCGGCCATCAAAGCTGGACTGCGCTTCCCATTACATCCGGCTGTTCAGCGGATTTTAGATGGGTATGATTTGGGGTTATGGCAGTTAGCCCCCAACTCTTGGGTAAACGTACTCGGCTATGTGGCCGGGTGCGAAATGTACGGGGTGGAGCCAAGCTTTGAGGCTTTCGCCCACATGAACTATCTCAGCCGGACCCCTAAGTCGGGAGGTACCGGCTGGCATCAATTAACAAGCCATAGGGGTTACCTCATGACGAGAGGTAAGGCGAACAAATGGAAGGATTGGCGGAACACCTTCCTTATCATTGAGGGTTCAGACACGGAGCTGAACCAACGTTTTAACAAGTGGAATAGGGATCCTCCTCTTCTCGCAGGCGGCCGCAGCATGCCGCCTGTTCCCCCAAAGGCTAAAAGAGAGATCCTAGACAAAGGACTCTTCAAAGTAGAGACTAGGGTGAACTCTACTTCAGGGGTACGAGAGCAAGTACCCCTACACTGCGTCCCGAGCTTCAAGTGGCTCTATGACGAGTACTTTTTGGCCGCCTGTGGCCTCAGCAGTCGGTGCTCTAGAGGTAGCCGGCCTGACAAATACTCTGTTTTTTTTTCACGCCTTGTTTACTTGGGATCTTTACTAACTTTGCTGTTTATTTTTTGCAGCAGACGCCATGAGTAAAATAACAGCATCCAAGACTGCGGCGGCCATGTTGCGGGCCTCTCTCATGCAACAGTCTTGTGCCGACTCCCCCAACAAGGGGGCACCCTTGGTAGGCTTCGAAAACTCTTCCTCTTTTAGGAGTTGTCTTATGCATATACTAACTCTTTTTGTTTTCAGTCTGGCACTCCAAGAGCTTCTTCCTCGCAACAGCCGGACCCCAAGGCCCGGAGGACGACTGTTGCAAGCTCTCCTGGGTCTTCCAGGAAAACAGTGGCGGCTGAGAAGCAGCCGGCCACTTCTTCTAAAACCCCGGCGGGGCCGCCTAGAAGTATGGACAATCACTTGTAAAAACTTTCACACTTGCTTCCTTCTTGACTAGGTCTAACTTGCTTTTTTCTTACGCTTGATGCAGCCGGCCCTCAGGGGCTTGACTTGGTTGAGGTAGCCAAGTCCATGATCAAAGTAGTTCCTCCATCTGAAAGGGAGGCGGTCAGGGGTGCCGGCACCCTTGACCTTGATGGGATTTCAGGGGTCCTTGCTGAGGTATACTTAGCATATTTTTGAGTATTTGAGTTCCAGGACGCCTGTTATCTTTTTTGTTTGGAAACTGACGCCTGTTTTTTTTTTTGTACTCAGGCCCTGCTCCGAGTCAACAGCCTTCGCAAGCCGATTGATCGGAAAAACAAAGAGGTAAAGGCCGCAAAAGCTATGGCCGCCTCCAACTGTGATAAGGCAATGTTTCAAATTGCCCAAAATGAAGTACTGACCATTGATATTCTTTATTATCAGGCGCAGGCTACCGCCGCTGTTCGGGCTCAGTTAGAGGCGGCCCAGAAGAAGAATGACGAGCTGGAGGCGACCGTCACAAATCTTAAGGCCGAGCTGAAACCTCTTCGCCAAAAAATGCACTGTTACGAAGCCATGGAGAAATCTTTGGCCAACGTAAAAGAACGCCTGGTGAGCCAAGAGAAGAGTCTTACCCAAGAGCTCTCGGAAAAGGCCGAGCAAGAGAAGAAAGAGCTCGTCCGGGAGATGGTGGAAGACTCCGCTCAAATCCAGCGCATGACCTGGGGCCGCCTGTTCCCCAATGCCGACTTTGCCTCATGGGAAAGAACGTACCGCCAGTGTTCGGAAACATATAATCAAGAGATCCTGGCGGCTGCTGAAGAAGAGGCGTTGGAAGGTACGTTGGAGGAGGAGGAAGAGCCGGTTGTGGCGCTTGTGCCACTTGGGGGTAAGGCATCAAAAGAGGGTGCAGCTAAAGCCGAGTCCAGCAAGAAGAGTGCTGACCAGGCGGCAGCTGCTAATACTGAACTGCCCCCTTCTTAAGCTTAAAGTATATATTTTTTTTCACGGCCTGCGTGTCGTTTGCTTTGTATTTACCCGGCCAGGGGGCCGGGGTTTTGAATATTTTGCTGGTCTTTGATGACCGGCTTATTTTTAATCAAATTTTTGTTTTGATTCAAATTTGTCTAAGTATTCCATATCTAATATCCCATTGTTCACTAGACCGACTGTTGTGTATGGCCGAACGTTGCAGACAGGTACAAATAGTAAGTACGCCGCCTATGCCCCTGGACGACTGGTTGTCTGTTTCCAGGATAGACGATCAGTCTGCCATTTATTCAAGCGGTATTCGAACTATTTATTCAATCGGTCTGACCAAGTAAATAGTATTACCTAGTCGCCAAGGAATTCAGTAGGATAACAAGCGGCGGGTACCGGTTGTTTCCCTTTATTGCCAATGTTGGCTTTTAACTCGTAATTTGTTAACCTAGCAAGAGTAGTGGTTGAGAGCCCCTGTATTAAAAACAGGCGGACGACTCATACCTTTTAGGCTCCATACTAAGTTTGAGTGACTATTAAGTTAACATAGGAGTTACTTAGTCTTCGTCACAATCTAGATTGAGTAGTAGAGGTACCAGGCGGCGTAGGCCGGCTAGACCCCTTGATTCGCCAATGTTTGTTGGCTATTAACTCAATAGGTACCCCCTGCATTTATCCCAAGTAATACAGGCGGTCATCTGACTCAGATGTCAACTGCTACCACTGGTTTGGTTAGTGATAGAGTTATCCTTGTCTCAAAAACGGCTACGTGGTTGCCCT